CAGCCAGTTTTTGGTTTGCCTTAAAGTTCATTCATCCAGCCCATGTTTCTTTAGTGTGCCTGCAAGAATGTGGTGGGAGACCATATCAAAAACCTTGCTAAAATCAAGGTATACCACATCCACTAGTCTCCCCTTGTCCACAGAGCCAGTCATCTCATCATAGAAGGCAATCAGGTTGGTCAGGCATGACTTACCCTTGGTGAATCCATGCTGACTATTCCTAATCACCTTCTCCTCTTCCTCCAAGTGCTTAGAAATGGATTCCTTGATTTGTTTGAAGTCCTGCACAAGACAGGGCTTTAAACAGAACTGGTAGTACAAAGTTACTGTGGGAAAAGCCTTTCTGGAAGGTTTAATACTATATATTACTGTTACTTATTTAGAAACAAAAAATCTCTAGAATATAGGAAAGTTCTCTTATAAAGTGAATTAGCAGTTATTTTTACACAATAGAAATTTTGAATCTAATGAGGTATTTGTTTTTGTGCTTCATAGAGCCTTTGCAACTGGAAATTCCATTTTAGAAAGGGTTGGAGTGTTGTTGGACCAACACACTTGCAGGAAATCAGGCTTTTTATTTTTATTTTTGGTGGTATCTTTATTGGGCCTCAAGTTGCCAGACAAAGGGCACTTAGGGCATTTTTACACATGCTTCAGGAGGCATGGGGAGGGCACTTTAATCAGTGAGCTGCACCAATTAAAAGTGCCCAAGTGTCACATGTATCAGTGTCCCTGTGCTGAAAAATGATGGCGGAGCACTTCGAAATAAAGCTCATCAAACAACCTATCGTTCAAAGCAGCCCACCGCCATTTTTCAGTGCAGGGACGCTGATGCATGTGATGCTACAGTCTGCTGGAGTGCGTTAATTTCCATGCTCCAGCAGACTTGATTAACCAAGTCTGCTCTGGCGCACTGGATTTTTGGCATGTCGCACCAGCTTCCCTGCATGTGTATAGGAGCCCTTAGTGCTCAAAAGTTTTCTTTTAATCTCTCTCCCAGGTATGCAGTTGGTCCAATAAAAACACTTCCCTCGTATTTAGAAATGGCAGTAATAGAATAAATTGCTTGCATATTTTATACATGGACATAGTCCAGAATTCTGCAGGCAGAATGGGTCCCTTGCACTATTATCTCTGTCAGGTGCTGGAACAGGTGTGGGCAAAATATGGCCCGCAGGCCAAATTTGGCTTGCAAGTCCATTCCATCTGGCCTGCAGGGCCCCAAAGAAAATTTTGAAAATTAAAATTAACCTGTCCTTGGTTCCTGTCAAAAATGAAAGGAACCAGGGTCAGTAGGACCCAGGGGAATCCTTGGTGGGCTCAGCAGCAGCTTGTAACCCGCCCCTGCTGCCACCCTGGGCCCCGCGCCGGCTCCAGGCTCGCCCATCAGGGTTGTGCATGGCGGCAGCTGCTGCGGCCCCCTTGCTTGCTGCACCAGACAGTGTTTGCTGCTGCTTGCCCTGCGCTGGAGCCCTGGGTGGGCAGCGGCAGCAGCAAACACTGCCTGGCATGACAAGTGGTGGGGGCCGCAGCTGCTGCCACCGTGCACAACCCTGATGGGCGAGCCTGGAGCCAGCACGGGGCCCAGGGTGGCAGCAGGGGCGGGTTAGAAGCTGCTGCTGAGCCCACCAAGGATTCCCCTGGGTCCTACTGACCCTGGTTCCTGTCATTTTTGACAGGAACCAAGGACAGGTTAATTTTAATTTTCAAAATTTTCTTTGGGGCCCTGCAGGCCAGATGGAATGGACTTGCAAGCCAAATTTGGCCCTGCTCAGGACAGCCCCACATGAGCTCTGAGCGGCTGCAGCAGGAAGCGCCTGCCACGGAACAGGGAAGGGGCCGCTTCTTCCTGTGCTCCGCACCAGCTCCTTCCCTGCCGGCGAGCAGGGGGTCAGGGCTGTGTGCTGCCCCCAGCCTGTACCATGGGTGGGGGGGCACTGGGAGTGAGCGGGTGCAGAAGCGTGGGGCCCACACCAGTGTCCCAGAGCCAGCGGGACCCAGAGCAGGGTGACAAGAATACAGGGTCTTGGCCAGCAGGGGCTCCATGGAGCCAGGCCAGCTCCCCCTTCTTCCTGCTGGTGCAGCCCAGCCTGGCTCCACAGCCCCCGCCAGCCTGCGCCCTGCTCTGGGACCCACCTGGCCCTGGGACATTGGTCCCAAGATGGTAATCAAGGGGTGGGGCTAGCCATGTGGTCCTCAACAGCTTGCTAACACTGGGTAAGCGGCCCTCTGCCCGAAATAATTGCCTGCCCCTGTGCTGGAGTCATGGAAATACAGGTATATTCTAGTTATTGCTTAGTCATGCTAACAGATAAAAATAACTATCTCCAAGCAGGCTGTTAGGGTGGATTATCTCTGGTTAGAGAGAATTAAGATTAAGGGATAGAGAGGTCATGTAGAGAAAACAGTCTGGGGCAAAGAAGTCATGTAGGGTATTCTTCAGGGAATGGCAAAGATAATGAGTATGGTAGGCCTTATTTGGTGGTTTTAGTTACCAAGATAAACTCTGGCAACAAAGCAAGAATGGATTACATAAAATACCTGCTCTTGGAGCAGGGCAAGAGCTACACCTGATTTGGCTCTTTTCCTTTTATAAATGTTTCCTCGCTCTTCTTGGTAGCTTTATTATTGGGAATATAGATATTTTTTCCAAACGGGTCTCTCTCTCTCTCTCTCTCTCTTTCTTTCTGTGTTTGTCTCTCAGGGTTACACTGTTCAAAAACCCTTGCTTAACTGCTAGAAATAGAGATGCTTCTAATAAGCTTCAATTTCTTTAAACAATTAAAACCACATAGAATAAGAACTTAGATTTTTGAAGGTTTTTGGGGTTTTTTTTAAAGTTTTCCTTACTTGTGCCATACTGCAATGGAATAATTTGTGAAATCTCTTCAGATTTTGCTTTTATTAATCTGGTTTTCTGAATGTGGTATGTGAACTTTTAGAAACTTGTGTATCAGCTGATGCAGCGTGAAATTGAGCAATGACAAGGTTTTGTTCAGGTCCTCAGGTTTTCCCGATTCTGATGGTGCTGTATTTGTTTGGACTGTGGATTTTATCTTCTGTAGTATGTGGTCCTTTCAGTGTGCCTTGTTTTGGGCAATCTCCTATTTTAGAGTAATGAACAAATATGCCTGAAGGACACAAGAATGCTAAATAGGGCCTTATGAGAGCTACAAACTTCAGAAATACTAGGTCTTCGGCATAAGCAAGATTCTTTGCTAGGTCGGAATTTTAAAATGCCACTTCTAAAACTTGATGTTAATATGACGACCCCAGAAACAATGATACAGTAGAACTGTTAATGCTTATTGAGGCCTAAGGTGTGGATGATCCTGGCTTTCTGAAAAAGACTTATGAACCGATTGACAGAGTACATCTCAAAATTGAGATCAATAATTGGCAATTTATATTGTTCATTGCTGAAAGTTACTTTTCCATTACTTTCTTCCTTATTCCATAGATTCATGCCAGACATGTCCGTGGCTGTTTGGTTGCCTTACTTTAAGTGAACCTGGGTTCACTTATAACAGATGTCTGCTTAAATTCCAGTTAATATTTAGAAATAGTGTCACAGTTAGGAAATGAAATGCATTCCTACACCTCCTAGGGTAGGAGTTTAATTCATAACTCATCTCAGAAGCATTTAAAAACACAGCCATGCCCATTGCCTTCCCTAGGTGGCTGAACATTCAAAATTGTCCCTGTGAAAGCCTGGGTAGATGCTGTGCCCCTTCCAATCACATCAATGTAGTAATGATGTGGATTTTCTCTCTCCCAAACTGATGCTGACTCCATTCACTCTAACGCTCACTTTGGAGATAAAACAACTTGCAGCCCACAAACAAGTGCAGCATATCTCTTTGAAACTGCTTTTTTTTTTTCTTTCTTTATCTGCAGCCTTTTCAGTGCTAGCTGTTGCTGAAAGAGACTTAGTGTGGATGGGACCTGGTTGCTGTTGTTTTATTTTCTTGCTCCCCTTTGAGGATGTTCCTGAGATCTCCCCTAGTCTGCTCCAGACTCTGTCTCCCTCAACCTCTGGTAGCAGTCATTCTAAGCGATCTTCTAAACTCCCCCAAACATAATTATTTTTCTGGTGCTCAGAGTATCAGTAGATGAACTAAGTATCTTTTTGTTAGCACTTGAGTTTTTAGCTGCCTTGCTCTGCAAAACTCTATTAGCTGGTTTCCCTCCTTCCTCTCTTCCCCATTCCTCAGTTTCTTTAGAATAATCTTCCCTAACTTTTCCTGTTCTTTCCCTTTTAAATAATGTGACACATATGTTACCTTTTGCTTTTTTCCTACTTCAGTACTTGCTATCGTTAGTTAAAATTGTCAACTGTCACAATTCTAATGCAACTGCAACATGTGCCACTTGTTTGTATTACTGTGGTGCTTGGCAGCTGCTGCCAGCTTTGGCCATTTTCAAGGGGCCTAGGCCAGACTGCAGAAGTGTGGCTAAGCAGAGAGCCCCAAAACTTTTTTCTGAGTGACTGTAGCTTGAACCTTTGCATATGTAACAACTAGTTAGGCCAGTAAGATAAAGGAAGCCCTCAGCATAACTGTCTAACTCACTAATGAGATTACAGTTAAACAAAGCACAAGGCCTGAAAGAAGACATAAGGGAAGACCATACATTAAATAATCCAGATATACTATATAATAGCTTTATTTTAAAATATTTGTAGTGGTGATTGATGTAACCAAATGTATTAGATGTTATTTGCTGTAATAGATATATTTTGGTAAGATGCTTAGCAAATCTGTAAAAACAAAACAGCTTTATTGGAGAAGACCATAAACTAAAGAAGAAACAGGCCAGTGTTGAACAAGAGGGAAGAAAAGGAGATAAGAAACCCTCTGTAACAGGGTACATGGCTCATGGTCTGTAGCCCAGCTGCAGGTGTTTAGAAGGGGATCACCTGCCTGCCTAGGAGGACTAGACCAGCTGACAGGGATGATTGGCTGGCCCTAGAAGAAGTTAAATGCTTCCATGGAGGAGAGTCAAAGGATATGGAAGACTGCAGTTCTGTGGAGGCAGCTCAGAGCTGGAATTGCCTTCTCAGGGTCTGGGAAGGACCACAGAGGTTGATTTAACTGTTTATTGCTTATGCAGTTGTTTGTTTTATGGTTTATGTTGCTTCCTGTGGGGACATGTTTGGCCCAGGGAAAATAAAACTGCTCTGTGAACAGTAACAAGCCACTATACCTTCCCTTTTATTTTTCCAAGGATGTAAATATAAACTAATTGACATCTTCCAAGTCCACAAGAGAACTGGTTCAGTCCAGGTCCAAAAGTTTCAGAGAAGCAAAAATTTAAATGAAATTGATCAGAGATCATTTATTAGAATATTAGAACCAGTCATCTAGAAATACTGGGTATAGGCTGGAGGGAAATTTGGAGAACTTGGCGAATTCATGAAGACCTGCTGCTAGCTACCTGCTGCCATGCTACCTTCCTCCCACCACTCAAGTCTCCCCAGCCTGTATAGGTGAGAATCTGTTGTGCTGTCATGGGGTGGCCAAGTGGACTTTGGGTTAAATGTTTGTTTTTGTGTTTTGAAGTGCAAGAAAATTAAAGGTCAGGTTGCAGATCTGTTTCTGCCTCTTATCATTAGTTAACCCACAACGTTACCTGTAATCTGGGTAACAGCTCTAGTCCTCAACCCAGAACCTGTAATCCCAGTTCACTACCTTTGACTTTCCTGGTCTGAGGGCCCCTTCTTGTTAGGTTTCAAGCCATAGCTTTTGTCTCAAAAAGGAACTGTAAGATTTTCTAACTTTCTGATCAGGTGCTAGGTAACAGTCTCCTGTGTCTCAACCCTGATCACTTCAGCAAAAATTAGTTGGGCTCAGACTCTGCAATTCCGTTTTCTCTGGGGAAATTAGTGATCAATCAGCTTTGCTTTAAAATAAAAACCGTTTCAGAGAAAACCTCTTAAAACAATAATCCACCTTAAATAAAGTTACTGCTTTTTCCGCAGTGCTTGTTAAAATGGCATTTTCCTTGAGGTGCTGACAAAGGTCCCCTGGCCATAAGAGTCAAAACACCTTTTTAATGCTTAAATCTTTGATCTAGTATGGCTAAAACACTTTTATAGCGTAGGAGAGACAAGTTACAGAATTTTTGAAGTCAGCTGCTAGATCCCATTGAGTTTAAGGTATACAAGATATTCTTATCTGGGTAGTTACTGATCTGTTTTCTTCTTTATTGCCTCTATTATGTTATGTTATTCAGACTAAGGTACACCTACACCTTCATACATGTACCACCTAGGATCTTTAGGGCAATGATACTCAGCCAGTGCTACAGATGCTGTGCTGTGAAATCTTTTTAAGGACGATGCACAGTCTTGCTCTGTTAGTTGCACACACAGTTCACAAGATAAACTCGGATTTTGAACAAGAATCCATAGTGTCAGAAACATTTTGACCTGTTGTTCTTTGCAACAGAAGAATTGCTCTATTTTTTATTTTTTTCATAGTAAAAACAAACAAACAAGTGAAAGCCAAGAGCTAGCATTTTCCTTGAGTCTGAGGGGTGGCTTGTGTCCAAAAAAGGTTGAGAATCTCTGCTTTAGTGGGTACTTCAGTGATGATTCTCAGAGACAGGAATGGGGGAAAAAGGAAAAATGTGAATAGAGGAAAAAGGAAAGAAAACAGACATATTATGCAATATCCCTTAGGATGCTGGAAAGGTTAGAGTTAGGTTGCAGTGACATGTTACTTTGCTAACCACGACACAGAATTATGGAGATCTACCTCCCAAGACAGTTATCAGATGAGTAGCACTTCCTGTTATACTCTTTTATTGTAGATAAAGCAACTGATTTTTTGTTTGGTGTCTTGAGAACATTCTTAAATCAAGTACACATATTGAAAGTACCTCTCCAGAAATCTCTTCAAGATATTGTATGAAACCCTCTTTCAAGATGGGACAAATTGACCTCTGCTTCTGAAGTGTCAGTAAAAAGGCTGAATACTCTTCTGATTAAAGCAGAAAAGGCTTCCCTTTTATAGTTAGCCCAGCAGTGCCTTTCTTGAACTTTTACTGTACCAGGAAAATATCTTATACTTGCACAGCAAGTAAAAAGTGGAAAATAAGTAGTTGTTCATTGGCTTCACTGTCTTGTATGATGCAACAGAATGTTTTATCATTTTGTCTGTGAAACTAGATTGCTGATGATGATCTCTCCTACCCGTAAATTATTGAACATTATATTCCTTTAAATGTTAACTACTTTACTGATCATGTAACATACTTTGATAGCTGTTAGACTTTTTAACAACCAAATGATTAAAAATATATGCTTTCTCTATGGAATGAGTAGTAGTTAGCCAAGTTAGTCTGAAGTCAGGCAGAAGGCAAGGTAGAGGTGCACCCAAGGCTGGAAACAAATGTGATCCTAATTCTCATGTGTGGTTGGTTATGGTAGTGCACGTGCTGAGAAAATAGACACCTAAACCTGTTGTGGTACCACATGAAAGGAAAATCAGTGGTGTAGCAAAAGGTAGTAATAGACTGCCACTTCATTGTGGTGGATATCTTACCTTTGTGGTGGAGTGGGACAGTCAGCCTGAGCTGCTTGCATTCTTCTACCACTCCAGGCAGGTGCTCTGGAGGCTTGAGGGGCCCTGAAACTCTCAGAGCACTTGCCTGCTTTCCTTGCTTACAAAGGGGCACCCTGGGGAATCTTGGGGTACCTCTCCATTTGCAAGGAAGTCTGACTTCTTCACCCAGCCACATGTGGGGCACAGGTCTGTCTGAGTGGGGAAAATAGGATTATCCCTGCTTGGCCAGACTCGTCACCAATTTATCATTGGAGATGGGTCTGGATAAATAGAGAAAGTGGGGAGATAACATCACCCCTTAGTTTTTCCCCTCCCTACCCATGGTATAGGGTGAGGGGTATTTCCTGTTCTGTGATGCATTAAGACAGCCAATTTGCTTCATTCAGCAAAGTCTATGTATGTGTCCACATGAGCTCGGACCCTTGTTTCCTTGGGGGAAAAGAAGCAGCTGAACACCTTGTGCCGCTGCTAGTTAATTGTCCCCAGGGAATGCCTATGCCATGCGCCCTCTGGTGTATGGCAAGTTACCCTGGGTGGAGTAGGTGAGGCTGGGGGCAGCACTGGGCTGGCGCCAGTAGCCTTACATGGGGGCCTTCTGGGTTCTGGGGCTGGAGCAGCAGCAGTGCTGCTGCTTGGAGCTTGGCCAACAGCTGCAGTATGGCTCTGACTGGCCAGGCTCCAATTTTGAGCTGTGCGCACTGCCCCCATGTGTGATTTCCTGCTTTTTGTGACCCCCTCACAATTTTGTTTTCTCTCTTTGAGCCTCTCAGTAAATCGCCACTGGCTATTGATTGGTAATTAATAGATCTGCCAACCTTTTGGAAGTTATAAATAGGGCATGAGGAGAAATATGGTAATATCTCTTACCTGTATTGAAATGACAGTTTTATGTGTAGAGACACAACATGGATGGTTGTAGCAGAAGAAGGCACCTATGCTAAATACTAATCCTCATAGGCAGAGGGAGAAAATATTATTTGGGGGGCTGAGTAAAACTTGAACTTAAAAGATACTTTTACTGTGCTACTACACAGACACCGCCCAGCAGGTAAGTGTGGGGTGGAAGGGGCATGAGGGAGTCGCAGATTGAGGCCCCCATTGTGACAGAAGGTTTGGGGCAGGGGCTGGGGTGAGTGGGGGCTTCAGGGTGGGTTGTGGGGCGGTTGAGGCCCCAGGCAGCTCATCCAGGGGTGCAGGGGGGCTCCTGCCACTCTGCACACCCTGGGGAAGGCATGGAGGGCATGTGCCCTCCTGATTAGAGCGTGGGGCAGAGGCAGGCTACTGCTGTAGACTGAGGTTCTGCGCCACACTGCCGTTGTCCCAGGAGTTGCATGATGCCACGTGCCTTCCACTACCAGGCGGGCAGGGTATGCAGTGCAGCCAATGCACAGCTCCCGAGGCAACAGCAGTGGGGTGCAGAGCCTCAGCCCACAGCGGTAACCTGCCTCTGCTCTGCCCCACACACAGAGCCATAATATACAGAATCCCTTTCTTTTTTAAGAATGATTGATTAATCAAATACCACCTGAAATCAGCCTCATACAAATGCTCTTTCATTTTGTTGATGTCAGATGGAAGCTGACATTCTTTATTTTTACAAAAGTATTCCTAAAAATAGGGGTCAAATGATATACCTGTGACAGATGAGCAATGTTATAGCAAAACCACAATTTAAATATATTCATGTCATAATAATGTTGCATACCTCAGTTCTTTCTTCACTTCCCTCTGTGGGGAAGAAATGGCTTGAGTGACAGACCAGACAACTGTGACTTCTATCTGATAAGATACATCCACCTACAAGGAAATGAATAGTCATTTTGAGGTTCAGGTGAGCTTGGTTATATAACATCTTTTGGACATGACACCCAGTAGGCACCTAGGGAAGAGGCAGAAATAAGGAGTTGTGAAGGAGTCTGTAATAGGAAGATGGTTGTCCTGGGAGCAAAAAAATCTGGAGTAAGGGAGCTGCCAAGCTTACTTTGGAATGTCCTGGGAGAGAGATCAGGTGAGCTAACTTTGGAGTGCTCAGGGCTGTGCAAGCTGAACTGGGGACAGAGGGACTAAACCCTTAAGAGGAAAAAGGATCTTATTGGTGTGTAGCCTTTGCTCCCACTTAAGGCCTTTTATTGAAGAGGAGCAGTAGAGTTCCCCAACTTTCCAATGGCCTGAAAAATGTAGAGAAGACCTGATATTGGGAGCACAATTTTAATTAATCAGACTTAAAGGAATCTCCCACAACGTTCAATTGCACAGCAATGTGAAGAAGCAGCTACTTGATTTCACCCACCTACTTCTGCTCCTTCTCCCTTAGCCATTTCATAACATCAATAGTTAAGAGAGCAGAGAGCCAAATCTATAAGTTAGTGTGGTGACTTGTGCACATCATTCAATTTTTATTAATCCCTGTCATGATCAGAATCCTCCATGCCTCTTAGAAACAGTTTGGAAATGGCAAAGAAATGCCAGTAGGTGGTTCCTAGTACTTTTAATTTGACTCCTATAACTGAAGACAATTTTAATTTTTAGCAGGCATCCCAGAATGCGCAGAATTCATGAGAAAAGTCGAAGTATAGAGCAGAGCTGCAGAATTTTGTGGTACAATATGTCTGTCCAAAATACTTAAGAGGTTTGGGGGGGGGGGGGGGGTTGTTTTGGGGGTTTTTTTATGAAGTTTTTATGAAGTTCTACTCTTATTTTTTTTTTTAACACAGTGCTGGACTACACTGGTTTTGCTCTGGTGTTAATGCTAGTGGAGGCCAAACATATCTGTAACTCATTTTGACTCGTAAACTGTTGTGTTAAGTAGCCATGCTCCAGCCTGCCTTAAGTAGACATATGGGAGGTGATACCTGTAGAAACTTTTGGTTAAAATTTCTTAGTACGTGCACTGTGTTTGTGCATACAGTTTGTGAGAATC